CATATATATCATGTAGATGCACAGTGAAAACGAGGATAAGATAAATCTTGATAAAATCACACAGGGAAAAGGGAAACAATGGAGATTTCTTGAATAAAGACGAAAGCTTATATATATATATATATATATAATCAACACCTCAACCCGCCAGGATTCGAACCCACGGTCCACGACTGTGACCGGGTAACACTATCCGCTGGACCACCAGGATACTAAAAGCAGTACTGTATTAGACTTTGTTATATTTCACACAAAGCCCCGGTCACAGTCATGGGCTCGTGGGCTGTGGGTTCGAATCCTGGCGGGTTGAGGTGTTGATTGCATGTAGAAGTCCGCGTGCTTTATTGGGCTAATGAAATATATATGAATCCTCCTGTTTCGAAGCCGGATTTGGTAAAACGTTACTCTGACCACCTACGTGATACGGGTAGTCCACATTAGAGGTTCACGGCGCTTTAAGCTCGTTGAACAGGCTTTATGTGAAATATAACAAAGTCTAGGACTGCTTTTAGTATCCTGGTGGTCCAGCAGTTAGCGTTCCCCGGTCACAGTCATGGGCTCGCGGGCCGTGGGTTTGAATCCTGGAGGGTTGATGTGTTGATTGTATGTAGAAGTCCGCGTGCTTTATTGGGCTAGTGATATATATATATATATATATATATATATATATATATATATATATATATATATATATATATATATATATATATATTATATATATATATATATATATATATATATATATATATATATATATATATATATATATATATATATATATATACAAGAAAATTAAGTATATATGGTACCTCGTGTTTCATACCAGCTGGATTGGGTAAAATGCTACTGACATCCACATAAATGAGCGGGCAGTTCCCAATGAGAGGTTCACGGCGCCATCAGCTCAATGAACAGGCTTTGTGTGAAATATAACATAGTCTACAACTGCTTTTAGTCTCTTTGTGGCGTGATCGGTAGCGTTCCCTGGTCTCACACAGTAGGTCGAGGGTTTGAGTCCTGGCTGGTGAGGTCGTTGATTATATGTTCAAAGTCCACGTGGTATATGGTCTAAAAATGAAGTATATATATATATATATATATATATATATACTGCATATAGAATAATAACTGAATAATTTATTACTGAAAGTTTAATGACTCAGCGTACCTGTATAATCATATTGTTTCTATTGTTTTTTTTTTACGGGGAATATCCCACCCGGGTACAAGTCATCAACCCAGAACGGGGCCTAAGAGGCGAAAAAAATAAGAGTAAAAAGAAATTAAAATAAAAGAGAGAAAATTCTCATGCCGGGAATCGAACCCGGGCCTCGCGGGTGAGAGCCGCCTATCCTAGCCACTAAGTAGACAACATGGGAGTTGTGTTTGTGTGAACAGTACCCCATTGTGTGTACTCTCTGCTGAGTGTCCTAGAGCTATTGCACTAGTGAAGCCAATCCTCCCCTCCACGTTGAAATTTAATTAGTGTTTTGTAATTTCCGAGGAAAATACGCTCTTAACTGAGATATCCGATCATCAAATATATTACCCAAAATATTTTGAGTTACATTACAATTCTTCCACTCAATCTCGAGTTAACTGGCCTCCGTTTTTCGGTAGATTTTCTTCACTACTGGATCGGTGTGTGTGGAGAAGTACTCAAGCGGAACGCCCTTCAGGAGCCAAGCCTCAGTCCCCCATTCCCAACCACTCTGTTGAGCCAGGTCCTCGAAGGTGTCTATGGGCAGAGACTTTCCCTGGATCGTTAGGTGAGCTATCAAAGACGAACGAAACCCTGTAACGATGATGAGGCAGAACACCAGCCAGAAACCCACCAATACCTGTAAATGTATAATTAAGCCTTACTGTTACTAATAGTCAACGTATATCATAAACAGAGAAGATAAGTCAAGATTAGCGATGAAAACGCAAAAGTATCAACAATGACAAAATAACATTACTTCATAAATAAGTCATGAGGGACGTCTACCTGGCCTGATGTACTGACGGATGGGTCGTGGGGCGGCTGCTCCAGGAGAGCGCCCCAGCCGTACAGGAGAGCAGTGTTGTACTTAACGCTGGGACCACCCGCCATCCACTGCCACGAACTTTGGAGCACCCATATAACTATACTCCAAGCCACCACACTGACCAGCAGCGCCATCCACAGTTCTCCTAAGTGATGGATTTATTTATATATTTATTTATTTTTTAGTTATTAAGATTTTTAAATGTTTTTAAATAGCACATTTGAAGGCGAAAAATAAGTTAATTTCCTACTGAATTAGTAATAGTTCAGCATTACTTTAAATAATAGTTAGATTATGTTTATCAACTTCTTAAGAAAAAGGTAATTTGAATTTTGCTTTGAAAATGAAAAGTAAACCAGAAATGCGATTTAATTTTCATGAAGGTGTTGCATCTTATGAACTGAAAACTTGTTCGGTTGAGACTTAAAATGAGATTATTGAAAGACACAGACCTAAGAAAAACTTAGCAATTTACTTAAAAAAGTTATAACTATTCGGAAGAAGATGAAAGCAGATCTATCTAAGTAACAAAGTGACCTGTTCTTCCTGCATGCCTCAATCGTGAAGATATTTCTCAGACTCCCATTTCTTAATGTTACGGTACTCAGTATCTTACAAATATCTACAGTAGGCCACTTAAGCCTGATGTACATAGACAAATATCGGTAATCATATTACTAACAAATCTTGGTGTACCTGTAACAAGCTTCGACCAGAATATATTTATATTTTGTTCTCCTTCTACAAATATTGTTCTAAAGACGTGAATTTCAAATGCGCATTATGGTCAGTGAATCTCTAACGTCTTCAAACACATCCAGTGCTCTGTGTTAAACAGCTTGAGGGTTACCTGCAAAAGGTCTTATCAGTGAGAGGTATTGTGGCAGTATTGAGGGCCGTAGTGATATTATTGTCACCATGTCCGACGGATACCCTTTGGCGTACTCTATCGCCTTGAGCCGTCCTGGTGAGGGTCCTGCCACAGTGCAGAAGTCCTTTTCTTCTCGCTGAAGCTGACCCATCATCCCGTCGAAGATGCCGTCATTCTCCACGCCCCAATTTTTGTTGGGCTCCTCACGAATCTCGTAACTTAAGGATATGTTAGAAACACTGTTATATTACTGGCATTTTATGTAGGTGCTTTAAAGACATTAACATCAAAAGATGCCGATTCCGAGTGAACAATTCGAACATAATCTAGAGCATCTTTACCAATTATAGACTACAGTGGGGAATCGAACATATATATATATATATATATATATATATATATATATATATATATATATATATATATATATATATATATATATATATATATATATATATATATATATATATATATTTCAGTGTAATTTCAAACGCCGCGCCATTGGCGATACTGAGTTTCAAGTTCGACTGAGGGAGGACAGCGCTTCCACACATAGTGAGAGCTTCTGGAACTAGGCCTATGCGATATTAAATGTAATTTACCGAATTAATATGGATGCGAAGCATGAAATTAAATGACATTATTAAATTTGAAATTTTTATTGATCGTTTCTCAGTCTAAATATGTTAAGGGTGTCCCAAGAAAGTTATTAGTAAGCGTAAAATATGTCACGTAGGCCTAAGCTAACGCCTTGAGAGGACATGAGGTTGGCCCGGTCTCAGTCAGACAACAGAGTTCTAACAGAGAGGACAGACTGTGCTTCAGAGAGGACAAAACGGTCACGTGGTCTAGTCACCTGTGTTGCGCTATTACAGTATAACAAGTAAGTCTCATTCGATCTCAGACAGGGTTTAGATAGGGCCGTGATAAAATTAGCAATAGCTAACAATGAGTTCATTGCAGGGTTTTCGTCAGAACCCACATGACTGCGAGTGAGAGACTGAGAGAGATTGACTGCCGTTTGAGACTACCGTTGATGATTGATGATTAGCGATTGTCGCAGTTGGAACGATCAGTGCAGGCTTGTCACTGGTTAGCCGGGTTAGCCAGGGATCTCTGAAGTGAAACCAGCTGTCTGGGTGCACAACTGACGATCGTCTGGGGTCGCCAGATTTCTTCTACCTCGGCTCGCAATATCACACATCTTCAAGCAGTTAGTGAAAACCTTTTGCTACGAGAAGCTAAAGCTTCTCTCAACTGAACAAGGTCTGATTGGCTCACTCCCTTCCGTCTTATGGATGTACTGAGTGTAAAATGAGGCCAGCTGAGTGAGACACTGTCACTCACTGAGGCCAAGAGTCCAGTGGAACTTAGAGGTACATTTTCCAAGGTGGAGAAAGACTTGTTTGTGCCTTAACTACGGGTGCCTTTTGGTTGTGCCTTAAAAAACTACTGAGTGCAGGTAGAATCTATGTGTGAGGTTAAGAAGCATGGTTCACGGGTATTGGTGGACTCAGTAACTTCTTAATAGTAGTGATAATATTGTTGTGTGTAGTTAATACTATTTTTTTCAGTTACTGATGTTGTCTTGTTGTGTGTAGTTAATATTTCTTAAATAATTTTGATAGTATTGTTTTTTAATGTTTGTGTCACTAATTGATGCCACAGAATGAGGGACTGGTTTTCAGATGAGGTTCCTCCTCTCTGTTGCAAGTGAAACTGTGATTTAGTTCCTTTAATGCATTTAATATTTCTTTATAATTCCAATCTCAGGTATAACCCTTGTTCCCCAGAGTAGTGTTAAGTTAGGTTAGGAGGTGTGCATCTGTTGGGGTAATATAATTTTATTGAGTGCCCTTTAGGCCTATTCATGGTGGATTTAATAATTTCTTATTTTATTATCATTTTCTCAGTGATTTATATAATTTTGTTGATTTCCCTTAAGGCCTATACATTGTAGAGTTATAAATTTATTTTTTTTAATACCATTTTCTTAGTGATTGATATTATTTTGTTGAAAGCCCTTAAGGCCTGTTTCATGTGTGCAAGCAACACTTCTTACTACTTTGACTTTATTGTTGTCTAATGAGGCATTGTCTGAGTCAAATAATTTCAATATCATGTATAACTTTTATTCCCCAGAGAAGTGTTTTAAGTTATGGTTAAGTGGTGCGCATATGTTGGTGTACCATTATTTGATTGTGTCTGTAGTGTTGGAGGGAATATAAGTGTCTAAATTTTACAGTGTCTCATTCATCCCAATCACAGACGCTATCCTTCCACGGGTCACGGAGAATTCATGTTGTTAGTAAATTTAAGTGTTCTTGTGCTGGTTTGGGTTTTTCTCAAAGGAGCGCTACTACTGCAATTACCATCTAATAATATTTAAGAAACCCCAAGTCAAGTGAGAAATTAAAGGAAGATCTAAACAAATTTTTCGAATGGTCTGAAAAATGGCAGATGAAATTCAACGTGGACAAATTTAAAGTACTCAGTGAAGGAGATGTAAACAGGGAAACCAGATACCAGATGAACAACGATGCCATAGAGAAATCCGACTGCGAGAGAGATTTAGGAGTAATGATAAGTAGGAACCTTAAGCCAAGTAAACAATGTGTTTTTGCTCGTAACAAGGATAATAAAGTACTTGGGTTCATACAAAGGAGTGTTAGTTACAAGACTAGCTAGGTCATCCTAAAACTGTATCTTGCGCTTGTGAGACCACACCTGGATTACTCAGTTCAGTTCTGGTCACCATATTACAGGATGGATATAGAATCATTGGAAATAATTCAGAGGAGAATGACATGACTAATCCCGGGCATTAGGAACCTTGAGTATAGAGACAGGTTAAAGCATCTTAATTTGCACTCCTTCGAGAGATGTTGAGCAAGGGGCGACCTGATAAGAGGTGTAGAAGTGGAAGTCAGGGCTAAACAAAGGGGACATTACAAAGGTACTCAAGCTATCCAACCAGGAGCGAACTCGTAACAATGGTTTTAAATTAGACAAATTTAGATTTAGGCGTGAAATAGGTAAACACTGGTTTGGTAACAGAGTAGTGGATGAATGGAACAAGTTACCAAATATCATCATTAACTCGAATACGCTGAATAGCTTCAAACATAGGTTAGATGCTTATATGAGCAATCGGGGTTGGGTGTAAACGGGACTGCCCAGTATGGGCCAATAGGCCCGCTGCAGTTTCCTCCATTCTTATGTTCTTATCAATTCCGACCGGTTACACACACGTATATATATATGTATATATATATATATATATATATATATATATATATATATATATATATATTTCATGTAGTCCCACAATGAAAACGTGGATAAGATAAATCTTGATAAATCACACGGGAAAAGGAAACAACAGGCACCTTAGCTTTCGAAAGCTAAGATATATATATATATATATATATATATATATATATATATATATATATATATATATATATATATATATATATATATATATATATATATATATATATATATATATATATATATATAATGCTGATAACCACAAGGAAAAAAGAATAGACGAAGTTCCCAAGCGCTTTCTTGTAATTCACATCTTCAGGGGTGAGTTCAGACTAAGGAGAAGTACAAAACAAGGTGTATATATACAGAGGAGGGTGAGATCAGATCCACAATGGTCAGGTATTAGGTAATGACCCTTGCAAGGAATGTAATATGTTTTACTTAGGCCAGACAGGAAAAGATCTTGCAACTAGAATTAAACAACACAAATACATTGTTAGGACAGGCCAGGAATCCAATGCTCTGTTTGTTCATTTGAGGGATAACAAGCATTGCATTGACTGGGATAATGCCTCCTCAATATTACCATGTAGTTCAATTGATAGTAGGAACATCATAGAATCTAGTCTTATTAAACATACCGAAGCATTCAACATGAATTTGAGTAACGGCATGTACAAGCTGGACAATTTTGTAATTAAGAAGATTTGTGACCAGGTGAGAAGGCCGGGTCACCTGACCATCTGACCTGACCACCAACCGTTGTGTGCTATTTAAAGATTAGTAGGGTCATTACCTAATACCTGACCATTGTGGACCTGGTCTCACCCTCCTCTGTATATATTCACCTTGGTTTGTATTTCTCTCTCTAGTCTGTACTCACCCCTGAAGATGTGAATTACACGAAAGCGCTTGGGAACTTCGTGTTTTCTTCTTTCCTTGTGGTTATCAGCATATACCTAGATCACGCGCACCTACAGTGATATACTTGCATATATATTTATATATTTACATATATATATATATATATATATATATATATATATATATATATATATATATATATATATATACATCATTTTTAGTCCATATAACACGCGGACTTTGAACATATAATCAACGACCTCACCAGCAAGGAATCGAACCCTCGACCTACTGGGTGTGACTAGGGAACGCTTACCGGCTAGGCCACAAGGACACTAAAAGCAGTTCTAGACTGTTATATTTCACACAAAGCCTGTTCATCATGTAGATCCACAATGAAAACGTGGATAGGAGGGTGAGATCAAATCCACAATGGTCAGGTATTAGGTAATGACCCTACTAATCTTTAAAAAGCACCGCAACGGTCGGTAGTCAGGTCAGAGGGTAAGGTGACCCAACCTTCTCACCTGGTTACAAATATTCTTAATTACGAAATTATCCAGTTTGTACATACATGAATTTGAGTAAGGTATATATATATATATATATATATATATATATATATATATATATATATATATATATATATATATATATATATATATATATATATATATATATGTAACCGGTCGGAATTTGCTGGACTTTAATTTCTCACTTGACTTGGGGTTTATTAAAATTTAATAGATGGTAAAGGCAGTGGAAGCGCCCCTTTGAGAAAAATCCCGAACCAGCACAAGAACACTTAAATCTACTACACAAAATGAACTGTCCGTGACCCGTGGAAGGATAGCGTCTGTGACTGGGATGAATGAGACACACTGTAAAATTTAGACACTTATATTCCCTCCAACACTACAAACACAATCAAATAATGGTACACCAATATGCGCACCTCTTAACTTAAACTTTAAACACTACTCTGGGGAATAAAAGTTATACATGACATAGAAATTATTAGAAACACAGGCAACAATAAATTTGAAGTATTAAGAAATGTTGCTCGCACACATGAACAGGC